GTTCCCGCCGAGCACGGACGGAACCAGCAGCTCGGGAGCCGTTCGAGACGTGCGCGCCGGAGGGGTGGGGGTGGGGGGGACCGTGAATTCAGTCACCTTGTTCCCTGCGCCTAGTTTCTAAGCTAAAAAAAAAAAAAAAAAGCGCTAACAGTAGTAGCATTTAATGCATGTTGGAAGAAATGGTAGGTGATGCTCATACTTTGGATGCTAAGCTCTACTTTTTTTTTTTTTTACATTCTATGTGGACAGATAGTCGGCTCATTACCCCAACCTGAATGTTGCCAACCTTTTAACATAGCCCATCCGTTGAGAGTGCGGTGGATTTTTTAAAGATGAGTTTCAGTACTGGTTTCTCTACGATGGATTTTAAATTTTATACATTTCTTCTTGAAAAGAAAACAAAAAAAGAACTCGGCCAAGGCAACAAAAGCTGAGACAGTGCCATACAACAAAGTTTTTATAGAGCAAATATTAATCTTGTTAGTCTCCCATATATTGGGGTTTTCTGGAGAGCAAAGTATTTTCTTGGGCCTGACAGGTTCCAACGTTCATTCATTTAATCAAATGAATCCAGAACTTAGAGACAGAAAATAAGCATGCTCGGGGTAATCCTTGGATCTTTCTTCATTGTAAATATGCTCAAACGATTGAAATGTTACACAATTTAAAGGGTCCAGTTGTGGGAGATGCACCATCTCTGCAACTGCATGGCGGTCACTTTGTTTATTCTTTGGGTAGCACCATTTTCTTTGGCACCTGTGACGTATGTCAAAAATAGTCCATAGTCCACTTTCCCGCAGACGCCATCCTTAAGAGGTGATCCACATTTAAAATTAAATACTCATTATGCAGTGAATACAGGATTCCAGCAGTGAGTGGTCTTGGGCAAAATACAGAACACACAACCATGAATGACAGCCTCGAAAGCCATCCAAAGGGGTTTTCAGTAAGACCGTAGGCCACAAATGCCAAGTAGTCACCGGAACCCCCAAATTCAGCAGGGATTTCCATCAAGCACAAATCTGGCAAGATACAGATGTTCAATTTTGTGACATACTTAATGATTTTAATATGTCCTAGTCGGCTTTCAACCTCTATTTCCTTCTAGACTAAAACCGGATGAGAAGGAAACATAAAAATGTGATGGGAAAAGGCTAAATGTTTTGTCCTCTTCAATTCCTTAGTCCCGAACTGTCCCTCAGTTCCCAGGTCAACAGCTTTACCTGGCTCACCTGCCTCACCTGCAGACCCAGGGGGAGTGTCTTTTTCAAATGGTAGACAGGATATGCTATTCTCCATAAAGGCTGAGGCCTAAGGCATAGAGGGCCCAGGATAAGGAAATTACGTGCTAGGGGAAGCCCTCCTGGGAAAAGCAGACGAATGTCAGACCTGGGGTTCGGGGCGGGGGTGGGGGGAGGAGCAGAAGGAAGCTGAGGTCCTGGAGAAGTGGGTGGCCCTGCCGGGGGCCTTCATGCTGGGGTGAGTAGAGAGCGGCCTGGGGAGCACAGGAGCCCCAGTGCAGTTGGAACAAGGAGCTGGGGGTCAAGCTGAGGCAGATCTCCTGGGGAGGTATCCAGAAGTGTCCCAGAGAGGCCCCCCTGTGGAGGCGGGGATCAGGGGGCAGACCTGTCCTCCCAGGAGGTCTCGGAACAGGAGGCAAGTGCCTGGAACCAAGGACTTCAGTGACAGCCAGAGGCCTGGAGGAGCAGATGGCAGATGAGTCCAGGGGAGAAACCAGCTCCACCAGGGCCCCCCCACGTACCCCACAGCAGGGAGAACGCCCCCAGAGTACACACACGCACACCCTCCACACAGCCTCCCCAAGCCAGGGTTGCCCCTCACTCCCCATAACTCTCTCCTTGATTTATTTTTAAAGGTGAGAAGAAGGTGGGTCGGTGAGATTTCATAGGCCTCTCACCTCCGTAAACCGAGGCGACAGCTTCCCCATTTAGCCACACTAGGGTCCCCCGCTGTTCAGCTGCAGCTGCAGTCGGTGACCGTTTTCATTTCAAAAGGGAGTGTCCTTTACCGAAATCAGATAGATTTCGCAAGGGAAACCCCACACTACAGAGTTATTCAATGGCACAGACTCCTACTGGCATATACCCTGACCCCCTCCCCCACCCCCAAAAAAACCCCAGAGAGTCAGATCAGGGCCCGTGTGCCCTCTGAGCTGAGGAAGTCCCATCCCGGCAAGTGCGTCCCCACTCAGGGGCTCACTTCCGTCATCTTTAACTGTGATTCTAGGCCGGCGCTTAGAAGTGTCTTCCAAAAACACCACATCATCGAACTTCCTTCCCATTTTCGTGCCTGTGAATCTCTATGACATGTAATTAAAAGTCACGTCTCACAAATTGTAATCCGTTTCTTTCCGTGGCGCATACATTGAACGCCCGCGACGCGTGTAGCATTTCATGTGATTTGCAGCGATTTCTCAGAAGCCCTTGTCAATTCCTCGGAAGCCCTTGTCAATTCCTCAATCGTTTGTCAACAGCCAGCAGCGAACAACTGACAGAGTCCCTGTAAAGGCTTCTTTCGAGAATGACACAGCTCCGGGACCCCCGCCTCAAACCAGGGGAGGGGGAGGCCCTGCAAAAAGTGGTAAGAATTTTTAAAAAACTTTAGACCTCTTTTAAGAAATGGTGAATGCTGAGGATGGAGTTATAATAACTCATCCTTTCAGAAGATTCGTTCATTGTCTTCAAGGAGGAAAATCGGTAATGATCATTTATTGATATTACTACTTAACCTCTATTAACCCAATAAAACTTCACTTTATTATTAATGATGCTATTTAAGGTCCTCATCAGCTCATTAATTTTGCTTGATATTTCCTTGTATTTGCAGCATTTCCAGCTAGGTGCAGGACAGGGCAAGTGATTATGGCTTATGTTCCAGCTCCAGACACTAGTGGATCCGACACTGGTTGTGCTAGAATGTTCTTCATGCTTCCTTGGTCTGCTTGTCAGCTCTGTCCACTCTTTCAGATATTGATTTGTGTGTGTGTGTGTGTGTGTGTGTGTTTCTCATACAAGTGTGTATTTGAGAGCAAGATAATGAAAGAAAGAGGCGGGGGAGAGAGAGAGAGAGAGAGAGAGAGAGAAATTCAGCTCTACTCTGCTGGCCGGAAGGAATGTAATCTTACCAGGAAACGTTGGCTGCCACCAGCACAGAACTATCGGGAAACAGCCCAAATGTTCCCTGGGAGATAACCTCACCGCAGAGGCCAGGGACAATCCTCATGTAGTAGAGAATTTCCCATCTGTTGCCAAGAAACGCCATTAATCTTTAGATCGGCGCCAGAGTTTCCAGAGCTGGAGCATTTCCACAAAGACGAAGATTCCATTCCAATGGGAGGAAACGGGGAGCCCCTCTCAGAACCCCGGGTCCCCCATCGGCTGCTCAGCAACATGACTGCCACGTGAGGGCGTCACATGGTGGTGTCAGGCCTGGGCACCTCACGGTAAACCAGCTGTGTAGCTCAGACTCTTTGACTCAACGTCTCTCAAAGCACAAAGTTCCTTGGGGGAAAAAAAATTCAAGCAGTAGAAGAAGGTGTAAGCTACGAATCGATGCAGCAGAAATTCAGATTACAAACGCGTAGGGTAGAAGTCGGGAAGCAGCCAACATGAACACGGTAAACCCCGCTAAAACACCCCACGTCGCAGATCTTTCACACGCCCTGTTATTCTGCCATCGTGGCCAGTTAGGGCCATAAACACCTTCCTTGCCCACCTGATGGATGTGATAAGGGGCTGTTTTTCCAGACCTGGCAGTGAGGCGTCTGCAGGGGCTGCAAACAGTGACAGTACCTGGTACGTTTCTGGAGGGGTGTCTGCGGAGCCAAGGCCTAGAACCCCCCAGGAAAGCGATTTTGTCAAAACCGCGAATTACAAATACATTTCTTTTCGACCCAGTAATCCCACTTCTGAGAATTTTTCCTCCAGTCTTACCGGTACAAAATGACACTTGGACAAAGTTATTCTTTGCCAGATCGTTTCTCATAGTAAAAGATGAGGCCCAGGTATCCCTTTAAGGGGAATGGAGGATAAATCACGGCACATCCATCAAAGAATGAAATACTCCGAGATATAAAACATCGTGAAGCGCTATTTCTACCGAGACGGAAAGAAAGCGCACGCCGCAGAGCACAGAGCAGACAGAGCGAGGTCCCCACCGGGGACGTGGTTCCACAGTGTAGCGGTCAGCACGTCTGCTTTGCACGCAGAAGATCCCGGGTTCGTGCCCCAGAAGAGCCACAGTCTGTGGTGTACGGCAACGCCACCTTGAACAAGCTTGATGTCTGGTCTCGGAAGCTAAGCAGGCTCAGGCCTGGTTAGTACTTGGATGGGAGACCACCTAGGAAGACCAGGTGCTGGAGGCATAAAAACAAACAAACAAAAACCTCTGCCAGTTTCCCTAGAACAAAACGCTAGGAGGATGCCTAAGGTATAAAAGTGAAACCTGTGGGAGCTCGGTGGGAGGCTGATACTTTTAAAACTCCATCCGATTTTTTATTACGTGGTTGTAATATCCGTCTGACCCTCAGGGGAAAAAAAAATGCCGATCTCCCTCAAATCGAAGCCTTAAGATCATTTGAGCGGAGTATTGTTACTAAGACCATAAATTCTACCTGACAGGTTATTTGGTGCAACTGCCCCTGTTTAAAAGAAGTGGAAACTGAGGCCCCGAGAGATGAAACTCGTTGGCCATACGGTGAGTGCTGTCACTACCAGCCAAGTGGCCAGTACCCCAGCCCAGAAGGTCACTCACGCTAAGGAAGAATCCCCCAAATATTCTCTTTCACATTTTGTCTTTCACCCCTAAGTGACTGGTTAAAACGAACACTTCCAGGATCTAATTGCACTTACGTTTCCCGGTTCCCTTCACCCACCATTGTTAAGTGTTCCTCGAGCACAGAAACATTCAGGGTTTTCTCAAGTCATCAAAATGGCTATACTTCTTTGAGACTCGATTTCTGCACTGCTTCATCCCTGTTCCCCGATGTACTTCATTCTCGGAGCTTCCATAATCTTAGGGCCTCATGCCATGTTTTTTTTTTTTTTAAACCCTTAAACATATAACAGAAAGAATCATTTTCAAATTTTTCTTTAAATCCTTAAACATAAGAATCAGATTCAACCATTTCTTAGACTATGACAATGGCGCCCTCTTGTGGTTTGTAGCTGTTCCTGTTGAGTGGAAATCTATTGGACTCAGAAGAATGACCAGATGTTTAATTTTCCGGTTCATAACCTATTTCTAATTACCACCTTTACCAGCATGTTCCGAAGTGGCACCATGATCCTGGATTTGTGGCTCACTAGCCGGCGACACTGTAAACTGGGAGGAGCTGAGCTAAAAACGGTTGGCTGGAATGGACTCCTTGAATCTTGAAACCCAATGAGAGTCTGCGCATTTAGCAAGTGCACCAAGTGATTCTGATACTCAGGTAGGTTTGAGAGCCACGGATCCCCGCTCTCATGTGGGGACTGGGCCAATTTCCCCCAACAAATGAAAAATATCAGCCGGTGTCACCTGACTGTGTGTGGTCGAGAAGCTCGCATCCGCCCAGGATCGCTGCTGCAGAGCTCGGAGCTCCGGAGACCAAGTTCCCGTCTTATGTCATGAGGAAGAATTCAAGGGCAAGATGGACGCCAAGCAGGAAAGCGTAAGGTACACACTCGAGAGGGGAGTGAGGGTCATGGGAAGGTGTCTGGACGATGGGCTTTGCCCTTCTTGGGGGGCGGCGCCCGGAAACCTGATCCTGACGTAGCTCGTTGTCCCCTTGCAGTGGACGGGGATCCACTTCCCACTCTTTCTTTCTCACGTGGTGGTTCCAGAACTGTCAGGACGTCAGGTGCATGATGGGAGCTTCAGTATTTGCAATGCAGATGAGATTATAATGATAATATCATCAGCCAAAGGTCACATCTTGGGCAAAGATGGTTTCTGAGCTGGAAAAGATGGGGTTTGGCGTATCCCCCCTTGCCGGGGCTAAAACATGGGGAGGTCTGAAGGAAGGAAGGAAATTTCCAGAGCCACATCCTGGAGGAATAAGGAGCGTCCCTACACCACCTGTCCTGCCTCATAAATCCCCCTGAGAGATTTTCAGACCCATGATCATAGGGGGTATGGAGGGACTGGCAGTCAGGCTTCTGTAGCTACTTCCCGCTGTGACAGGGCCTTGTCCCCACCTAGCCTGAGACTGAAAACCTCTGCCTGCCTGATCTAGGGGATCAAGGTTTTCCTCCAGGTGAAGGAATTGGTTTAAATCCCTGTGACAGTATCATCTTTACGTGGGACTTGGAGGAGACAAATTTAACGAGGAGGTTAGAGAGAACTAGGCCAAAGGTTAGGGGTGGACCTAAAGCAGAACCCAAGGGGGAGGAAGCAGGCGACAGGAGGTCAAGTGCTCTCTGCAGCCGGCCGAATAGAATCGGATAGAATCGGATCGGCCCTCGGGGTCCCCTTAGCAAACTCACGCAGCCAGTTGGCCTGATTATAGGTTTCTTTAATGTTTTCCTCCACCTGGCAGGTGGCGTTAATGTAGGTGCAGCAAGTCTTGTTAACAACTGCACAGATACCTCCTTGTTCAGCGAACAGATAGTCAAGAGCTAATCGATTATCAAAGACCGGATTTGCCAGTGAATCAAAGGAGCCTTTTAGGTGTCGGAGGGCGTCTCCAGCCCTGTGTGCTAGGGTGGCTTCCAGTTAGGTTTTCTAAGGTGGCCTCATGGTAGGCAAATCCTCCCCAAGGGGCTGCTAGACCGATGGCAGCTGCGATGCCAGCTTCGGGAAGTCCTGTGGAGACAGGACAGAGAGTTCAGGGACGTCCCTTCCCTCTGGGATGTGGCTCTGGAAATTTTCTTCCTTCCTTCAGACTTCCCCGGTTTTAGCCCTAGCAAGGGGGTTAGACCAAAACCCATCTTTTCCAGCTCAGATGCCATCTTTGGCCAAGACATGACCTTTGGCCGATTATACTGTCGTTATAATGTCATCTGCATAGCAGACACCGCAGCTCCCATCATGCACCTGACGCCACGACAGTTCTGGAAACACCACTTGGGGAAGAAAGAGCTGGGAACGGTCCCCCACCCACTGGGAGGGGATGACAAGCTACGTCAGGACCAGATTTCCGGGCGCTGCCCCCCAGAAGGACAAAGCCCGTCGTCAGACATCCTCCCATGACTCTCTTGGCGGGGCCCTCACTCCCCTCTCGAGTGTGTCCCTTTGCGTTAATAAACCTGGCTTTTTCCTGCTTGCCCTTGGATTTTTCCTCATGTCATATGACAAGAACCTGGTCACCGGAGCTCCGAGCTCTCCAGCGACAGGATGACAAGCTGCAGAGGTCACACCGCGAGGTTGTCTGAGGCCTTCGGAGCAGAAGTTTGAGGTCCAAACAGTTTTTTTTTTTTTTTTTTCTGTCCAGCGACAGGATGACAAGCTGCAGAGGCCACACCGCGAGGTTGTCTGAGGCCCTCGGAGCAGAAGTTTGAGGTCCAAACGGTTTTTCTTTTTTTTTTTTTCATTCTCAAAATGCCATCTTTAATCCGTTTGTGTTCACGGACTGTCAGGGTTGTGCCGATGACTTGGTTGTGTCCACAGGTAAAGCCCCAGTCCCCACCCACACCTGACTTCAGAGGGCACTCCTGCCTGGCAAATGCAAGGGAAGGCTCAAAAATAACATGCTTTTATTGTCCCCAACCGGAAGTGGCTTTAAGATGCAACTGTCCCTGGTTTTCTGCTACTGCCAGACAGGAGGGAATTATACTGACCGAGCATAGTTTGTTTTCTTCTCGACATTTCCTGGGGTTCATGATATTTTTCAATAAAGTTTTATTTGGTCAAATGAGAAATGAACTTTGACACCATGGCTAAACATTTCTAAATATTTAGTAGTAATAAAGCCAACTGCTTCATTTAGGACGGGGTGAACGCCAGAACTCAGACATGGAGCTGCTCATGACACTTGCCTGGGACAGATTTTTGGCCCGAACCATCCGCTTCACTTCTTTTTGTCATGTTTTGTGGTGTCAACACAGCAAAACTGTTGAGAGATTCGGAGGTTCCACAGAGAGCTCTGATCGCGCGCCAGAATCACCCGTGCCACCTGGGGACAGAAAACTCCCAGATACCCTGAACAGAGAATTTAAAAAAAAAAACAGTTTTGTCGAGGTCTCATATAAAACAAACTCACGTGTTTCAGACGTACAGCGTGACGCTTTTTGGTATATATACACACTCCCGTGGAGCCACCGCAGCCGCTGTGGCCTGAATGTGTGTGTCGCTCAGATTCACATGTTGAAATCTAAACCCCCAAGGTGATGATGGTGTTAGAAATGGAGGGTACGTAGGTCCTGGGATTGGTGCCCTCATAAAAGCGACCCCAGAGAACAGGCTGGCTTTCCTCCCACCATGTGAGGGTACAAGGACGGGGCAGCCATCTGCACCTGGGACGAGAGGCCTCACCTGAACCCGACCACGCTGGCATCCTGATCTTGGACTTCCAGCCTCCAAACGGGAAGAAGAAACACCTTCCTGTTGTTTATAAGAGGCCCAGTCTGTGGCAGCCTGGGCCAAACAGGACACCGGAGATTCTGGGAAAGTGGAGGCGGTGGGTGTGACCCAGGCCTGTCCCACGCCGGACGCAGGAGAGTGAAACAAACACGTTTCTCCCTAACGACACGTCTCTTTCAAAGAGCAGAAATTTATAGATTGTGCTTTTCTTGTAGCTAAGAATGCTTTGCCTAAATTAAGATTGACAAAGATATTCCTCTCATGTTTCTTCCAGAAGTTTTATACTTCTAGGTTTGTTATGTAGGTTTACGAAATATTTTAATTTCTGTATGAGATTTGGACTAAAGTTGTTTTTTTTTTCTCCCTCATATGGACATAAGATGTTTCCAGCACCATTTGTTGGAAAAAAAAAAAAATCACCCTTTCTCCACTGAATTGCATTTGTAACTTTATCAAAATCAGTTTTCCATATCTGTGTGGGTCTATTCTAAATTCTCTATTCTGTTCCATTGATCTACTTATTATCTGGGTACCAACACCATACTATCTTGATTACTGTAGCTTTATAAAAGGTCTTGAAATCAGGTAGTGTTAGACCTCCAACTTAGTTCTTTTAAAAAAAATTTTGGGGGGGCTATTCTAGATACTTTCTATTTCTATATGAATTTTCTTTTTAAATTTTATCTCTACTATTGGCTGGTTTATTTTTAAATTTATTTTTAATTTTTAAATTACAGATGACATACAATATTAGTTTCAGGTGTATGACATAGCGATTAGAAATTTATATGCCTTACAAAGTGATTGCCCCAATAAGTCTGGTACCGTTCATAATTATTACAATATTATTGACTATATTCCCTGTGCTACAGTTTACATCCCTGTTTTCTATGAATTTAAGAACCACCTTGTCAGTTTCTAAAAAAAAAAATATCTGCTGGAATTATGACTGATACCTTTAGATTAATTTAGGAGAAACGTCATCTTAACAATATTAAATCTTCTGAGCACGATGTATCTCTCTAGTTAAGTCTTCTTTTTCTCAGCAATGCTTTATATTTCGACATATGGGTTTTTAACATATTTTGTATCACTTAAGTATTTCCTATTTTTGATGATAAAGAGACTATCATTTTTAAAACTCAGCGTCCTGTTTATAGCTAGTATAGAAATACAACAGACTTCTGTATATTGATCCCATATCTTGCAACTAGGCTAAATGCACTTAGTAGTTCTAATAACTTTTTGTAGAGTCCATCAGATTTTCTACACAGACAATCAGGTTGTCTGCACATAATGATGGTTTTACTTCTTCTTTTTCAATCTGGATATTATTGATTTTTCTATATTTGTTTCATTGCGGTGAGCATTGAGCAGGGGCGTCTGATCTAGACAGAAAGCATTCAATCTGTCACTACTAAATATGGTGTTAGCTGTAGGTTTTTGATTGTCCTTTTTCAAGTCGAGAAAGTTCCTTTCTGTTCCTAGTTTGCTGATTTTAATCGGGAATTGATAAGTTTTGTCAAGTATTTTTTCTGTCTGTTGAGATGATCATATACTTTGTTTAGTTTTGTTTTTAGTTTTTTAATATGGTGAATGACGTTGATTTTTGAATGTTAAACCAACTCCATTTGGTCATGAACTTTCTGTTCTTTTTATAAATTATAGGATTTTATAAACCCTAAGTTGTCCTATTCTACTGTGACTACAATTACAAATACGTTAAATCTTCTCTGTGTAGCTTATATATTTATATAATATATAAATACTTATATATTATATAATATATAAATATGTATCTGCTACTACTATCTTCACCTTGTCTTCTGTATTTTTCAGCATTTTATTTCCCCGCTTCATTCCAGGTTATTTATTTTGAACTATCTTCTAATTGACTAATTCTTCGGTTTTGTCAAATCTGCTATTAAACCTGTTCATGATTATTTTCAGTTGCCAAATTTTTTTCAACTCTAAAAGACTTTTTTTTTTTATGGTTGCTCTTTCAAAAATATCATATCATTTTTTAATGGTTTTCACTTCCTTGTCAAAAATTTCAAATTTGTTTTTTAATCTCCTTGTGCAAGGTAAGCAGCGATGTTTACAGCTTATTTTATGGTTGTTATGCTAGAATATATAATTACTAGAATATGTCTATTTATTTATATATAAATCTAAATATATATTTATGT